ATGAAGATCTCATAACCACTCACCCAAATCAACAAGTCACACCCAATGCCACCTGGGCACATACATCACAAGCTAAACCTAATAAGCACCACGCGTATATCACTGAATATGGAAAGAGAAACACATGAGAGAACTATCAAATAAGTACGACAGGCACAACTCCCTATCAGTACCATACTACGAATCCATTCCACAAGGGAGAATCAAAACATATGAACTAATCACAAGGATCTCATCCTAATATAACTCCACCATGGCACGTAGCCCGGTCCAAACATATCAATCCACACAAAAATATGAGGATTCCATCCTCAGCTCTGAATCACAAGTAAAATACATATCACACCTACCGAAACCTTCCACTAACTCATTTCGTGAAATAATATTTCAACACGTAATGGACTTCCCATACCGGTAGGGCACCTAAATCACAAATCGTAACCAAACCATCCAGAAATCACATCAAAATCCACCGTAATGAGTAACCAAAAGTTTATTATAGTCTTATAGATCTCAATAGGGATTAAACCAAAATGATAGACACGGGCTACCACTAAAGAGTCTCTCAACAGTAGGGGTGTTCGTCGGTCGGTACGGTATTTAGATATTTCGGTTCGGTATTTTCGGTATTCGATTTCTTAAAATGCTATACCAATACCGTACCTAATTAAATTCGGTATGGTTTGGTTTTTCTCTTTTCGGTTTTGGTTTATCCGGTTCGGTAACTTCGGTTTATTCGGTTTGAATACTAACTAGTACGTAGAGTCATAGACTATAATATTCTTAATTAACGTACTCAAAAGTACAAAACTAAAAACGTTTGTTGATAAAACTTTTGTCCAAAACCAGAAAATATCAATCCAGAGAGAAAAAACTATACATAAAGGATAAATTTGATCATTAGAAATGTCTTGTCACTTGTTTAGAGTTAACTGATGAACTTAGAGAACAAAGGAAAGCAAAATTTTAGATTTTTTATATTTATGTTATAATTAATAATATGTGTATTATGAAATATAATATATATTTCGATACAATATCGGTATTTCGGTATTTAATTTTAAAATACCAAATACCATACCTAATACCAATTTTTAGAAAAAAATTAAACTAAATACCATACCGAATACCAAAATATCGAATACCAAATACCAAAATTTTTGGTTTCGGTACAGTAATTCGGTATTTACCAAATTATGCACAACCCTACTCAACAGAGGTAAACACATAAGCAGAGTACAAGAATCATGAAACACACCCATATATGAAGCAAGATAGGAGGATTTACTCCGATAAACAAGACCGAATAGAAATAAGACTGATGCTCCTCTATGACAAATCAGAACCATACCTATAATGACACTATTTGGTGCAGCAGCCTCAGCCCTACCATGCAAAGTATATCAATGGGCCAGGCCTCCCTTTCTTGGGTGCCCTCTAATCGCCTGTTCTCCACCCCTAGCTGGTTGTGCAGGTGGAGTAGCAACTGGAATGGAGCCTATAGCCTGAGTGCTCTGATGAAATCCACCTCCCCCGAGTCTGGGACAATCTCTCATGATGTGTCTAGTATCGCCACACTCATAACAACCCCTCTGCGGGCATGGCTGTTGGTACTGAGTCTTTGCCTGATAACTGGAATAACCGATGTAGGAACCCTGTGCAGGTAGTGCACTAAATGATAACTGCCCTATATAAGTATCCTGAGGTCCCTAACTAACTGGAGCACCACGAGTAGTCTGAAGTGCAGACTGAACTGGCCGATTGCCCGAGCCTCCGCCGTGATGGGTCATAGCTGAAGAGTAGAATCCACTAAATCCTCCAAAAGCTCGAGACCTCTTGGCCTCCTTATCCTCCCTCTCCTCACCCCAAATACGCTCTAACCTCTTAGCAATCTCCACAACCTGCTGAAATGGAGTATCAGTCTCCAACTCTCGAGCCATGCTGAATCTAAGACCATAACTGAGCCCCTCGATAAATCTGCGAACTCGCTCTCTGACTGTAGGAACCAAAGTGGTTCATGGAGGGATAACTCACTGAATCTGATGGCATACTCCGACACCGTCATGGTGCCCTGACGCAGCAGCTCGAACTTTGTGCACCATGCATTTCAGAGGGCCTGTGGAACAATCTCCATCAAAAACATCTCAGAAAACTGAGTCCAAGTGAGTGGTGCTGCATCAGCTAGCCTACCCTCCTCATGGTCATACCACTACTGATACGCTGCTCCCGACAGTTGAAATGTAGTAAAATCAACTCCGCTCACCTCTACAATACCCATGGTGCGGAGAATACGATGACACTTTTCTAGAAAACCCGGCGAATCCTCCATAGCTGTGCCACTGAAAGTAGGTGGACCATACTTCTTGAACCTTTCAAACCTCTTCTTCTCCTCCTCTGATGCCCCTGACCTGACCTCAGGCTGAGCCGTAATAACATGGTATCGGCATCATACCCGGAGTATGACCAACATGAGCCTGTTGCTCTGGAGTACAGGCGGCAGGAGTCTGAGCTCCTCCCCCAATCTATGAAGTAGCTGGTGCAATGGAGATCAATCCTATCTGGTATCAACAAGCTCCTCCGGTGCCTCTCCCCCAACCGGAGCTACTGGTGGCTCCTCAACTGCTACTCTAGTAGGTGCTCTATCTGCGACACCTGTCCCTCTTCATCCTCTACCCCGGCCCTGGCCTCTCACGGCTCTAGCAGAGGGCGCAGGTGTAAGCTCGGCTGATCAAGTAGCATGTGTCCTCATCATCTGTGAGAGAATACAGATACAAAGGCTCAAACTTCGAAATCAACAAATCTGCACGACAGGAATGAAAGAAGAGGAATTTTCCTAATAGTTTCGTAGCCTCTCGAAGATAAGTACACACATCTCCGTACCGATCCGTAAGACTCTACTAAACTTGCTCGTGTCTCGTAGAACCTGTGAACCTAGAGCTATGATACCAACTTGTCACGACCCAAAAATCCCGCCTTAGGTATCGTGATAGCACCTAGTCTCTAAGACTAGGTAAACCGATTACTTACAATAATTAAGTCAGTTTAACAATGATATTTTAAAACAAAGTTTAATATAAAAATCGAAATAAAGGTGGAATAAGCCTACGCGGCAATAATCACAACAACCTCCCAAGACTAGGTAATACAGAGTCACGAACTCTAGCAGAATACATGGAAATATCTCAAAATCAAAATACAATACAGTTCGGATAACAAACTGACAGTACAAAAAAAGGGAAAGGACTCCAAGGGACTGCGACGACCAAGAAGCTCTACCTTGAATCCTCGCGATCAAGAAGCTAACTCTGCCCGAGTCCGATATCTCCAATTCCTAGATCTGCACAAAAATATGCAGAAGTGTATGAGTACACCACAGTCAGTATCTAATAAGTATCAAAACTAACCTCGGTGGAGTAGTGACGAGGTACAAATAAGGACACCTACTAGTCAAAATAACATGTGCAGTATAGAAGTATAAAGCTAATAATGAAAGCAGGAATCAGTAAATGGCAACAAGAATAAACATGTGATATAAACAGTAAAGTAATAAGAACACCGTTAAAGTACCAGTGAAACCCAATAAGGTCTCACAACAAAATTACTAAGAGATATCTCATCTTATAATCACAAGTCACGAGTCCCAAATCACGAATAATATGCTCACGTTACCTCATGCTCACATTTTCAATCACCACCTCACGGACAACTCACGTGCCAATATCTCAATCCGCCCGCTATGGTCACAGGCTCACAATCACAATCCGCCCGACGTGGTCACATGCTCGATATCATAATCCGCCCTGTATGGACACATGCTCAGTATCACAATGGAAGTAGATAATACAATATCAATAAAGTCAATTCCCGGTCAAACGTCTCAACCTTCCAAACCTTTAACTTTCCAACTTTTGCCAAAATATATCAAATCAACCTATGGACCTCCAAATCCAAATCCGGACATACGCCTAAATTTAAAATCACCATACAAAGTTATTGGAATTATCAAAGCACCATTCCAGATTCGTCTACATAAAAGTCAAACTCCGATTAACTGTTATCACTTAAGCTTCTAAAACAAGAATCATTCTTTCAAATCAATCTCAAATCATCCGAAAACCGAACTTGACCACTCACACAAGTCATCATACATAATTAGAAGCTTCTCGAGACCTTAAGTCACCGAACAGGACACTAATTCTCAAAACGATTGGTCGGGTCATTACACATGGGATGATCTAGCCTGAAAATTCCTAATCAAATTCTTTCCCACAAAGAAAACAAAGTCATTGAGAAGCCAAATTCTAAGGTTTCGACAAAAAGGAGAGAGACTCTGCGTCAAGCCAGGGAGAGATATAAAAAGCTACTTAGAGATTGACGGCATCACTGTCAAACTAATGAAGTGTTGGTTCATACTTTTATGGATCGGTTGGACAAGACCTCCAAATTGAATCTAGACTCAGCTTGTGGAGGTAGTTGCATGCAAAAGCCATACGATGAGATTCAGACTCTACTGAACAACTTCACTGCAAATGATCATAATTGGCAAGGTGAGGGTGAACCACCAAGAATGATAAAACAAAGAGCAGCATGTACAATTGAGCTTGATGATTTCTCAGCCATGAGAGCATATATAGCAAAGTTAGCCAATTAGGTGAATAAGATGACGATACAACAAGCACATCAGATGCAGTATGTGCAGCAGATGAATGCAGTTTGTGAAATTTATGGAGATGGTCACATGAGTGACCAATGTAAGGTGAATCCAGAATTTATTTATTATGTGGGCTAGCAGGGTATAGGTCCAATGAACCAAAATGCACAATATGGGAACACTTATAATCCAAAATGCACAATATGGGAACACTTATAATCCCAATTGGAAGAATCACCTGAACTTCTCATGGGATGGAAATCAGGCTACTCAAAATCAATACAGACCCCAAGGACACTACAATCAGCCCCAAAATCCACCATAATAGGTAGAAGAAAGCACCAATGATATGTTGAAAAAGCTGCTAATTGAACACCAGCAGCTAAGGACTGATTTTCAAAAATTAGCAAGGCAAATTGGGCAGTTGGTTGCACAACAAAATATCCAACCTGCTGGGGCCCTCCCAAGTGATACTGAGAAGAATCCCACTGAACAAGTGCAAGCAATTGATATAAGAAGTGAGAAAACATTGGAAGAGGTGCCACCTAAAAAGTATGTGCCTAAAGAAGTTTTTGAAAGATTGGTACCTCAACCGGAGGTAGAAGCTAAAACGAAAGATGATGAACACATGCAAGAGATAGAGGTAGGGCCACCACCACCTTTTCCTCAAAGGTTGCAAAAATTGAAAGATGCTTCCAAGTATAAAATGTTTTTAGATATCTTGAGCCAGTTGCGTGTGAATCTACCTTTGGTGGAAGTGCTGCAAGAAGTTCCTAAATATTCCAAGTACTTGAGAGACATTATGGAAAATAAAAGAAGGTTGATAGAGTTTGAAACGATTGCACTTACTGAGGAGTGCAGTGCTAAAGTATAGAGTAAGGTCTCTCCTAAGTTGAAGGATCCCGATTGTTTTACAATTCCCTTGGCGATTGAAAAATATGAGATTGGTAGAGCCTTGTGAAATTTGGGGGAAAGTATTAATTTGATGCTACTGTTAGTGTTCAAGCAGCTTGGGGGCTTCCAGGACTACTACTATAACTCTACAGCTAGCAGATCAGTCATTAGCAGTGCCTGAAGGTATTATTGAAGATGTGCTGGTGCGAGTGGGGAAATTCATCTTTCCCATTGATTTCATTATTCTTGACTACATGGCTGATGAGGAAGTTCAAATTATTTTGGGGCAACCATTATTGGCCACTAGAGGGGCACTGGTTAATGTGAGGGAAGGTAATCTCAAGATGAGAGTACATGATGAAGCAGTAACATTTAATGTGTACAAGGCACTTAACCTTCCCAAGCATTATGAGGGCTTGTGCATGATTTTAGTAGTTGAACCAAAGTTAGGAGAGTTGGATCGTGATGTGAATGTTAGTGAAAAGAAAATTGAGCCCGAAGATTTTCAGTTACTTAAAATTGAGTAAGTGAGTAAGGGCAAGACTATAAAGTTGCATGACAAGCACCTTGTGCATCGTGAGTTTGAGCCGGGTTAATCCGTGCTCGCGCTGAGTAGAGATTGAAGCTCTTCCATGGAAAGCTTATGCCTCGATGTTGTGGTCCATTTGAGGTAGTATGTGCTTCAAGGCATGGCGATGTGGAACTTAGGGATCCCATACATGGTGACACATTTTTAGTCAAAGAAACAAAGAGTTAAACACTATTGGGGTAGATAACGTTCATCGTCACCAAACTTCGATAGACTTGGTGGATGCTTGGGGGAACATTCTGCGTCATTCTTTGGTGTTAAATCAGGCGCTTCATGAGAGGCAACCCATGGTGATGTTATAATCTTCATGCCATGATGATAACTAAGGCACTTGTTGGGAGGCAACCCAATTCATAGATTAGTTTAGATTAATTTGATTTTTCTTTTTGATTTTGGGTCCTAACGGGTTGATTTTTGGTTTTAATAGGTACATGAGCGAAATAGGGAGGCCAAAACGCACAAAAGAGTCTAGAACGGAATGAAAAATCACTTGAGAGCACTCCGAACCCCGCCTATTGAGGTAGGAATCTCACCCCAAAGCTGGCGTTGCTTTCCCAAGTGCGAGCTTTAGCTTGCGAGACACCTCACACCGCGCCCCTTCCCCATCGCCCCCAGTGTCGCGCAGCGCCGCGAGGCCTATCGCATGTAGATCCTCGTACCATCTCGCGAGGCCAGGTAAGTATGGCTTCTCATTTTCTTTTGTTTTCACTCTACCATGCCCAAGATCCCACACAAATTGACCACATTTTTTTCCATATCTCTTTAGTGGTTATTTTGATGAAGTAAAGTGAGCATGTAAGCTTTATGAAGTTAGTAATTGTGAATTGTGCTATGATTGTTCCGACCCCTTAAACCCCTTAGGAATGGTATTGATTATTAATTACATGAGTGGTTACACTTGAATTCCAAGATGATCTAGGAGGGTGAGGCAATCCCTCACCTGCAAGAGAGCTTACACACACCTAGTGTGCGCCAAGTGTTCGCTAAAATTCCCAAAGGCAATTTTTGTCCCAATTAGAGCCTGAGTCTCCGGGATCTATACACTAGTAGCTTGTGAGCTTAATTAACATTAAATTTTAAGTGTGGGGTGGCTCATCGGAGCCGGGGTATATTGTTAAAAGTGTGATGCATACGCTGTGCTTACATGTGAACGAGTTGATTGGATGACACTAACGTGCTTAAATTGTGCAAGGTGAAGTCTAAGTAACCTTGATTTAATTGAAGGACAGTGTGCTAAGATTTTAAGTGTGGGGTCGTTACGACCACATATTGAGCTGATGAGGAGGATGACGAGGAGTGACCAGGGAGTTTTCTTACCACCCTTCTTGTTAATTGCTTTTATATGCACTGAGGACACTGCATGATTTAAGTGTGGGGTGGAAAATTCTCTGTGGTTTGTACATTAGTATATTAGTACCTTTTAGATTCTTATTTTTATTTAGCTTTTTGTTTTCTATTTTGGCATTAGTTAATTAGAAAAAAACAAATTCGAAAATATGGGCTTTTCCCGACGATGGATCTCCTAGGCAGCTTTCTTGAGGGATTAAAGTCTAACCAAAAATACAAAAAAAAATTTAAAATAGAAAAACACAAAAACATGTATTTTAGCTTTCTTTAGGTAGTAATAATCCCCCGTATTTTTTTTGTGTCTCGGTTCTTTTCCATGGGATGTAGTTTGAACCAGATAGTAGTTTATTTACTTTTAGAGTAGATTAGAATTTAGGTAATAAATGGAGGAAGAAAGATGAGATTCCTAGGCGCCCTTGACTTGTTTGATAGTAGCATATTTAGGCTTTAGCATGTGTAGTATCTTCCCTATGTTTTGAAATTGATCATGGTGCATTAATTATTTGGATAACATGTTTTGTGACGCCTATGTCTCATTTTCTTGCCTATTGTCCATTTTGTGCTTGATGCTTAATATCTCATGGCTTTTGTGAATACTTGCATTAGTTTGAGAGTTGGAATGAGACCGTACTTAGTGAGTCATGTGCCATGTGTGAAGTGAGAATTTTGTGCAGTCCATGTCATTGTACTTGTGTCTAGAACTTACCCGGTATGTAAGTTGAAGTAAAATTTTAGGTGATGCTCGGTTTGGAAAATGATTTTAGGCTTTCTTTGATCTTTTTGAGCTTTATTGCTTATCACAAATGAAAGTTTTCCCTAATAAACCCTTTTTGAGCCTATAGACTTTTATTTGACACCCACATTACAAGCCTATTTCCTTTTGTTCTTAATTGACATTCTTTATCCTTTTACCTCTTAAAGCACTTTAATTATGAAATGAGCGCTAAAAGAAGTAAGGAGGAAATTTTGGTGGATTTCGAGTGGAACCAATAAAAGGAGGAAAGGTGAACTTATTTTGTAAAGAATACACCACTAGCAAAAATTGTAAAGGAAAAAAAGAGAAACAAGAGAAGGAAAAAAAATGTAGATGAATAAACAACTTATTATTGCTAGTGTGGTGTGAATTAAGATAGTTCTTAAGGAAAAAGGAAATGTTATTGGAGGTGATTTTAGTTGTGAAATTGAAGTTGAGATTGAAGAATTTGCGCTTAAAAGTTAGTTTGGTGATGTGTTAAAGCACTTAGGAGGGTAAACCACTATTCCTAAATATATCCTACCCGTCCCTTAGCCAACATTACAACAAAAAAAAAGTCCTAAATGATTTTAGATCGAGCGAGCCTACATTAGTAGAGATTTACATTATGGGAAAGCCTATGGCACCAATTGCATGCATGTGACTTTTTTTTGTGAGAGTGAGCGATTTGTTTTTGATATATGTGAGTCCTTAAAATATATTTTGGCAATTGATTTGAATATGTGGATTCAACTTACTCTCTTGTTCTTGTTGTGAGGGAACATGGTTTCACGATGGGTAGGTAATGTTATTAAATTTCTCTATGATGTTAAGTGTTCAAGCCATGAGTGCATTGTAACATTGAGTTAGTTTTTGAGGCTAGGATTGTTATGAGCATGTTGTATTTGTTGTGAATATTTTTGAAGAATATCATAAGTAAAGGGAAGTGTATGTGATTGCATATGCTAACGTTTAATTGTTGCTATCAACCATGGTCATTGGTGTGGTGTTGTTGCGGCCAAACGCAAACGCAAGTATACGCGGTCGTCAAGTAATAAAGTGATAAGATAGAGTGTCGAACCCACAAGGACTTGTGATTAACTATTAACTAAATTAGACTATCCTAATTATCTAAACAAGAGTTAAACCTAGAAGTATATGACTCTTATCCAATTAAACTAAAAAGAAAATAAATAATGAACTTTGAACAAAAGAAGCGTAGATTTTTATGTTATCAATATAATGAAAACGATCTAGGGTTATGGGCTATCTAACATTCCTATTGTATTCTTCAATTGTATTGACTAACTAATTCATCTAGTTTATTGGTTGACAGGGTTAATATTGCTCCTAAGAATCTGCCGAGTTCTTACTCGCCTATTCAAGCTAACCTAATGCTTATATGTCTATGGAGTTAGAACTAGCAAGAACGCATTTATAATTCCTGTACATCAACTAAGCAAGGCAATTAGGTATATGTCTATCCTAACCGCGAATCCATTCCTTGATGCCCAGGTTCAAGTACTTTTTCTACTCAATCCTATATGCAATCTAGAATTCCCACTTTCAAGTTCAATTCTAGATTCGTAGATAATATTCAATTGGTGATCAAGCAATCAAATAATTAAGCGCGAGATTGAATAAATAAACCAATATGATAAATCAAGAAATAAAAATCAATATTCAAATAACAATAGTCATGAAAGAACCATAACCATAGAACGTGAAGTTTAGCTCCACAAAGATATGGTGTCCAAACAATAAATCATACAAAGAAACATAAAAATTACTAAGTTGGCGGAAGAAGATGAAATCTGGCCTCCACGGCGGCTCCTTGCTCTCCCTAGGTCGAATCCCCTTCAAAAATTATGTTAGATGCCCTAAAAGAGGCGTTTTTGACTTATATATTGCGTACAAAAGTCGTGGGCCAAAGTTTCCCTTTTCCTTTCCGAATTAACTTCAGGGATTAATGCTAGGGTGGATGCTTCGCGTCCACCTTAGCTTGAACTTCTCAGCATCGGATGCTGGGGTGGATGCTTCGCGTTCACCCTCTGTTCCCTCAACCTTGCTGTGCCCAGGTGCGGATGCTAAGATGGGTGCCTTCTCCTGACTTCACTGCTAAGGGTGAACCAACTAGCCAATTTTCCAAGGTTGGATGTGATGCATCCACCCTCTTCTCCTATAGCTGGAGCATCTTTTCTTCATATTTTTGCACTTCAAACATCCTAATTCATCACACACAACTTAATTAGTCATAAAACTAATAATGAACACATGTTGGACTTCTTTAACACCAAATAACACCAAAAAGCGGTTAAAATATGGGTAAAGTAATATTAAAACATATAGAAATATGCCCAACTCACCACCCCACACTTAAACTTTTGTTCATCCTCAAACAAACCATCACTATAGTAGACGAAACAAAATTAAGCTCCTATCATTCAAAGCACATCACACCTATGACCATAGTTGATTCCAACAATTAAACTCTAGCATATGCATTCAACACATACTTCCCTTTAACTTATGCCATATTTCAAAAATATTCAAAACAAAAGCAAAATGCTCTTAATAATCCTAGTCTCAAAACCCGACTCAATATCACAATGCACTCATAGCTTGAATACCCAACATCATAGAGAAGTCTAATAACGTAACCTATCCCTCATGAAACCATGTGCCTTCACAAAAAAATCAAGGATAGTGAGTTGAATTCGCACATTCGAATCTCATGATCAAATATAAATTAAGGACCTCACATATATCAAAGAAATCGCTCACTCTCACAAAGAAGTCACATGCACGCAATTGGTACCACATGCTCGCCCATAATGTAAACCTCTACTAATGTAGGC